CCAGCCCCAGCCTGCCGTCCGCGCTCTCCCGCAGCCCCTTCCTCGGGGGGTTCCTCGCCGGGTGCAGGCTTTCGGCCCCCGCCCCTCGGCCCGAGTGAACTTTCACCTCTGGCACGGTCAGCACCTCATCCTCGCTGTCCTGGTCATCTCCGCGCAGAGACGTGAGGGCTTCGGCCGTGGCTGCCGTGGCAGCGACGTGGCCGTTCTCCTGCCCGTCCTTGGCGGGCCGCGGGGCCGGCACCTGGACCTCCTCCATCAGCCACTCGGTCTCATTCTCATCCGCCTCCTCTTCCTTGTTGACCTGGGCATGACACAGCAAAGCCCAGGAGCCCCTCTGAGACCTGTTCTGCTCCCTTCCCCTCCCCGACGCCCACGCTGAGCTCCGCCCACCGTCACTACTACGGTCCCCCGCGGGAGGCAAGGCCAGGCCCGGCCCAGCCGCCGAGGCCGCAGCGGCGGCAGCAGCCAGCCTTGCACGCGCAGACCAGCGTGGGCCACGCAGGTGGCGCGGGCCGAGCAAGCCGCGGGCACCTGGCCAGTTGGCCTGGAAAGTGCCTGGCATGGAGAGCCACATGTGCACCTAAGTCCTGTGGCCCAAAAGACGCCTCTTTTCTGCAAATTTCCCTAACGTCTGCGCACAGTTTTCCTCCCCGTGTGTTCTCAGAATAGCCAAGGCCGTTAAGTAATAAATATGCTGAAGGAAATCCGTTAAAACCACCACGGGAGAAGCCTGACGGGAAAGAGGAAGTGTGCGGGTGACATGCCTCCCTCTGCCTGTCCCTGCCCGGCGGCGTCTCCCCTCGCCGGCACCGGTGGCCAGGCGCGGCCTCACCTTAGAGTACTTGTAGGACACGTCTGCGCTCCGTCTGCAGCAGCTGGTCAGCTTGCTGAACACCGTCTCCCTGGAGGGGGACACCGTCACGGGGCGGCCCCACCGCCAGCCCCCCGCCTGCCCACCGGCACACGTGAACCGCTTGGGCGGACACCGCTGAGAGTGGCCGTGCGTGCCCGGATCAGTGGCTGAGCAAGGCCAGAGCATCAGGAGGCCACGGGCCGGCGTGGCAGTGGCAGACCTGCCTCCTCCCGCCCCCAGGCGGAGTGGACACAGCACCTGCACGTCTGGCGCCAGGCCGGTCACACGCTTCCGGCCGATCCTGTCCCCACAGGTACCGCCACGGGCGGCCTTTCCCACCACCTGCTCCCGCCCTCGCAGGCCTCTGGGGCCGTCTCCAGGGAGCGTGACGAGCCCTTTGCCCAGCAGAGGCAGCTAGGCACACAGCAGGTGCCTAAGCATGCTCACTGTTCCCACGGGCGCAGGGGAGGGGAGGGGAGAGGCAGCCAGCCAGCTAGGGGACCTCTGCTCGGAAGACGGCTTTAGTTACTGCCCATCCCGAGGCCGACGGCCTGGACAGGTGGGCCAGGTGGCCCACGGCGCACCTGCTGGGACACGAGCCCAGACGGCCCAGCGAGCGGGACACCTTGTCTCAGGGACACTAGCACCAGCGTCCACGGTTTCGACCAAGGACGCGGGACTCTGGCTGCCGCTGGGCTCAAGACAAAGCCTCCTCACCGTCTCTCCTTCTTGTAAAGCAGCAAGGCCAGCAGACAGGCGGTCAGCGCCACCAGCAGCAGGCTCAGGACGGCCCCCACGGCCTGGCTCCTCTCCGACAGCCCCTTGTGCTCTGGCTGGTCCTCCGTGGAGTCACCGTCAAAGCCCACCCTGGAAGGAGCCCATCTCAGTGGCCCTGTGCCGTCACGGCCACCCCAACAGACCGCGACTTGGGGGGGCCCTGGAATGCGCCCGTCCCAGCCGTCTGGTTGCAGCCCAACGACACAGGCACCCCCAGACGTGAGGAAGGTGGCGGCAAGGCCCTCAGGCAGGCGTTCCAGAGGCCAGATGGGAAGGCAGGGCCTCCAGCAGGCTGCAGCCACCCCCGGACCCCAGGGAGAACCTGGGGCCAGCCAGCCGCGCTGGTGTCCCAGGGCCAGGGCGTTAGCCTGGCGGTGCTCCTCTGCCCACAGAGCACGTTGGGACATGGCACGGGGAGCCCCCACACCCCCCCGGGCGCCGTCTCCAGGCCTGTGTTAAGTCTCAGGACCAGGCGGCCCATGAGCCCAGCGCAGGGTCCCGGCCCCCCACCCCGACAGGTGACGCAGCCTCTTCCCCAGGTTGGACACTCAGGAAACAGAGCAGCTAAGTCGGCAACACCGCCCCTCCCTGCTGAGAGCCCGAAGTTTGGGGGGGACCTGGTCCCACGAATGCTGAACCCAGGTGGCCTCAGAGTGCCCAGTGGGCTCTGGGCCTGGGGGGCTGGCCCTTTCTCACCCTGAACATCGCGCTGCCCGGCGGGCCCCTCCCCTCACGTGGGTGCTGAGTCACCCCGGCTTTTCCCAACCCTACCCCCCTTAGCCCCAGATGCCCACTGAGTCTGTGAGTGGGCGGTTGCACCCTGACCTTTGTGGCTCCGGGCCGTCAGGGTACCCCACTGGCAGTGACAGCAGAAACCCGCCGGCCCAGAGGCAGGTGGCAGCCAGACCCGCCTGCTCCTGGGGGCAGCGGCGGCGCCACGGGCCACGCACGAGCTGAGGTGGACGCCAGAGGGCCGGCCGCCAACTCGGACTAAGGTCAACCATCCTGGGGCTACGCCGAGTGGCACGGCGAGAGGGAAGACGAGTGAATTGAGCTGTGCCCACAAGCTGGGCCCGAGACATCAGGAGAGGCGGTGGGCAGGGGGGCAGCTCTGGCCGGGCACACTGGGCCCCCCACAGCCAGCTAGCCAGAGTGGCTTCAGCCTTTGGGCCCGTTGCCCAGCGGCTCAGACACTGGACACGGCAAGGGCACCCGGAGTTGTGGGCGCATCACCACCAGCCGCCTCCTGAGCCCCGCGGCCACTGCGGGCATCTGAACCGTGGCCCGTGGGGCTGTTAGGCTCCCGCGCCGTGGTACCTGATGCCAGCCTCTCGCTTCGGCTCATCAGTGGAAGCACCACAGAGGCCGTCGCTCGCGGCCCCGGGCAGACACCTGGGAGGACTGGCCTCTGTCCACAGCCCTGGGAACCGACGGCAAGGCCCCTCTTTATCTTTCTAGAGGGCCAGTTCCCAGAGTCGGGATGGCCAGGACTGAGTGAGACCTGAACCCTGTGACCGGGTCCCCCACTTCCTGCTGACTGGGAACTCCTCGAGACGTGAGGGCCATGACCCGTGGCACAATCCCTTCTCTTCTAAGCGAAGGTCAGAGTGAAGAGGTCTCCATGGGCACCTGGAGGAAACCAGGGGAGCGCCCGGGAGCCTTCTCTGATGCTGCCCTGCTCGCCACCCTGGCCGGCAGCCCGGGGGCGCCACCCACGCCAGCTGGACGAGCTCCCACTCAGTCGTGGAGGTGGCCCCACAGCCGTGTGTCCCCGGACTCAAAGAAAAGGAGCGGGGGATCGGGCCGAGCCACAGCACCCGCCACCAGGAGCCCCAGAGGGAAACGTGGCCGGGGGCTGCGGGGCCTGGTGGGTGCTGGGGTGCAGCCGGCGGCGCACAGCCACCACAGTCCTGAGGGGCCGACGGGCTCCCAGCACTGCCCAGCGCTGAGCACCCACAGCAAAACCTCACGGCCGGACACGCGGCCCTGAGGCGAGTCGTGTCTCGGAGACAGGACGGGAAGAGGCAGAGAGGGCTGGCCCGCGCCGGCCACACTCACCCCAGCGGGCACACCGCGGCCGTGTGCCAGGAGAAGAGGTACTGGCAGTCGGCTGTCTCGTGGCTGAACTCCGGGATCCCGTCCTTCGCGTCCGGGTCACAGTGGAAGAAGATGGTGGAAGAGACGGACTTCGTCTTATCCTTCCCGCACTTGGACGAGGAGGTGAACACCACGTCGAGGTCACCATCTGCCAAAAGGCGCACAGACACGCCGGCGGCGTCAGGCTGCCGTGGCAGGCCAAGCGTCGCTTTGCAAAGCTGCGCAACTCGCCGACGTGAAAGTCGAGGGAGGGGTCCGTCCCCAGACGCCCCGGTGCCCCCCACACAACAGGGAGCTCCTGCCCCAATCAGTGCGCTCGGAGCACTCAGAGCTGCCCACTGGGGATGGCCAGCCGACGACCTGCTGGACGGGGCTCGATCTGCCCACCTGGAGACCGGGCGCAGCCACGTGGGCACCCACCACTCAGCCAGCCACTGATCAACCAGCCCACTGTGACCAGCAAGCAGACCACCACAACCCACTGACCAGCTGTAACTGACCAACCAACCCAAAACCAGCCACTGCAGCCAGCCGGCCCTCCATCCTGCCCGCACAAAGGGGCACCGAAGGACCCCAGGATGCCGTGCCAGGAACCTGCGGGCTGGCCGTGTCCACACACATCGCCAGACACCCATATGGGAGCGCAGCACGCCCTGCTTCAGGGGCAGAGGGCTAAGGACCTGCACCCAGAGCTGCCCCCGTGCCCTGCCCGGGCCGTGTTCCAGCTGCGCCCTCTGCTGGAACAAGTCCGAAGCGCAGTGGCAAGGGAGCCCACTGGTGTGTTGTGGTGACCAGCGGCTGCCAGAAGGGAGCCTCTCGTGGACTCTGCCCCTGAAACATTGCAACCGACACAGCTCTCTGCGGTCAGCCACTGCCGGCCACTGATGTGGACGGTGGTCTGCAGGGTGAACGTGTCCACCAAGAGAAGGACCCAGAGGCAGGCTGGCTGGGAGCCTGGTGCGCCCCCTGGGGGCCGGGGCAGGAGCCGCAGCTCGGCGCACGGGCCAGAGTGTGGGTGCACCAGAGCTGGGGGCTGCAGGGGCCTGGGTCCTGCTGACTGAAGACTCATGAGGGGATTGTAACTTTGTTCAAGAACTGCGAAAAAGTCTTAAAACTAACCCGCTGCTCTAGTGCCAGTGAGCAAAGAGAAAAAAGGCCTGAAAGGGGCTTGCGAACTGTGAATTCGTTCTGAATGAAGAAATGCACACGTATACGTGTGCACACACACCCCGCCAGGAACGTGGGCAGCCTGGTCACTGGACACGCTGCCCTGTGCTGGGGGAGGGCCTGACCACTGAGCCCCCGGGATACGTGGCGGAGAGCCCTGCCGACCGGGCCGGGGCCGGGGCCGGGGAGGTGGGCTGGCCCCACCGCACAGGAGAGTGGGGGGCGAGGGGCGGCCTGAGCACAGAGCTGTGGACACCAGGCGGCCGACCCAGCCCACAGGCCCCGCTGCTTCCAGCCTGCTCCGGGAGGGGCATCTGTCAGATCTCCGAGGCCGTGCTCAGAACGTTACGGGGGCACTGCGGGCTTTTAAGGAGGCTGGCCGGCAGCCCACGACAGTCCCACGCACAGAGGCCGGCGCCCAGACGGGGTCCCAGCAGTCCAGCACATCCGGCCCCCACCCCGGGTGAGGGGAAGGCAGAGAAGGGAGACCGTGGGCCGTGTCCAGGACAGGGAATCACGCAGGGGTCAGGCTGCTGGGTGCGGGCAGCCTTAGGGCCGCGGAAGCAGGGCCCGGCTCCGGACGGCGCAGGACGCGCCCCCGGCTGCAGCAGCTCCAGCGGGGCTTTGCGACCAGGCGGCACTTGGCGGGCATGTCTGGCTCCTCACACAGGTGGGCCAAAGGCTGAATTGTGAAACGCTTTGCAGGGAAAGGTGAGCGGTTTGCAACAAAATGCGGTGCTGCCCCCAGAAGTGCGCCCCGCGGGCCAGCTCGGCACCCCCCCGCCGGGGGGGACCTGCAGCGGCCACCGCCGGCCTCCTGCGACTCGTGTGCGGGCCGCTCCGCTCCTCCGGCCTGCGGCCGCCGGGGGCTCGGCTGCACCCTGGCCCGTCCCTGCCGGCGAGGGCGGCTGCTCCGTGACGCGCGCCGCTGGCCGTGTGGGGATGCCCCCTCGAGACCGGGGCACCCCGTCTCTGTGCGCCCGAGCGTGGGGCGTCTGCGCATGGACCCTAAGGGGCTCACCTTGCAGGTAGTACTTGGTTTTCTCAGAAGTGCCCACTTTCCTACTGTAGTGCTGGTCGTGGGGCTTCACCTGGCACACACTGGCGCCGGCGCAGGCTGGATTCGAGGAGCTGGTGATGGAGGAGAGCTGGATCTCGTACAGGTACTTGTCCCCATTCGCCCTGATGTCCCCAGAGGCACTGAAGAGCCTGCAGCGACACAGAGCGGGGCCTTCACGACAGCGTTCCGGGGGCGGTGGCCAGGCCGTCTCCGCCCACGCTACCCAGCTCCATCGCCACCCGCCGCCTCCCGGGCAACCTCACCCCTGCCTCCCCACCCTGGGCACCGCCACCAGGCCCCAAGAACTGCCCAGGGATGCTGCCCCCCCCCCAAGGAAGGCAGAATCCTGATCGGAGGCTTCAGCGTGGGACTCCGGGTTTGGGGGGGCTGGGGGGGCAGCCACAGCGCCCACGCCGCCTGGGGCGGGCTGACAGGCAGGTCTGGCCCTGCGCACGCCCCGGGCCTCCGAGGACAGTGTCCAACGTACTTGAAGTAAATGTCCCCGAGGCTGACGCTCTTGCCGTTGGCAGGGTTGATGATGGTTCCATTGACCATCTGCACCTCCTGTGGCTTCACGGCACAGGCGGCCCGCGAGGCCCAGCTGAAGTGGTAGGTGCAGGTATCCTCGTCGAACCTGCGGGGTCAGCGCCAGTCACTGCACGCCCGAGCGTCCCAGACGCGCCACAAGGGCCCTGAGGGAACTGGGACCCCGGCCCCTGAAGGCCAGGGTCCCCACAGACTCCCGCCCAGCGCCAGGCGCTGAACCCTAACCCGGGGACGAAGTCCGGCCAGGATGGCTGTTTTATTTCCTCACAGCGAGCAGGACGAGGCCTGCCCAGCACACCGGCACCGGCCAGCACCTGAGGCCCGGGAACCACAGCAGCTTGGCTCGCAGCTGGTCAGCTCGTGTGAGCAGAGCCCTACGTCCCTGGACCCTCCTGAGCCAGCTCCTGGGGGACGCAGCCATTCACACAGAGCAGCTGGCACGTCCAGTCGGCCAGGCCACCCCAGCACCCCTGGCAAATCCCAGCAGGACCCAACTCCGGGGCTAGCCCCCGCCAGTCCATCACGACACCCAAGGACGGAGCCCCTGAACACCACCGTCAGTGCTTCCATTCACAGCCAAGCCACAGCACGAGCCCCAGGCCTGTGCGGGGTATGGGGTCGCTCCTCACCGGGGGCCGCCCAGACCCCCACCGCAGGCCTGAGGCCCGGCGGCCAGACGCCCCCTGTGGTGACGGCCTGCACATGCCCCCCAGCAAGCGGCCCGATCGCAGCGGGAGAGCTGCTCTCCCGCACGACCTGGGAGCCTACACTCGCACCTCGGTGTTGTCTGCCTAACTCTCTGCCTTCTCCCCGCTGGGGCCTCTCCAAGTTTGAGCAGCAACACAGACTCGTGACGAGTCCCAAGGACAGTCACACCCCGGCGTGTTTTCAACAGGGGGCAGTTTGGACTGGACTTTCTTCTTCCCAGGAGGGCGTCCGGGAAGCTGCCGACCCCTGTGGTCCCAGCGACCCCCGGAGGGCCCCTTCCAGCGTCCCTCCGTCCTCCCTCTGAACGTCCTGTCCACTTGCGTATGCGTCCTCCGTCCCCGCTCCCTGCTGGCCCCCACCCCTGCCCGTTCCTCTATGCCTCACTCTGGCCAGTGGCGCCCCCGGGCTGCGAGTTCTGTGCTGCTGCATGAACATCCGATTTGTCCTTCTGACCTGCTGCACAGCACACGGCCCGAGCGGCCCTTGGCACCCAGCCGGACCACGGCAGCTCTGCGCCCTCCCGGGCCTCTTACCTATTGAAGGCAGGCTTGCCCACCGTCGTGGCACAGGTCAGCTCGATGACGGTGGACACCGTGAGATTCTTGCCGCAAGAATAACCTTTGGAGTAAGTCACGATGACCTTGTCCCCTGGAAGACACGGTGGTGGAACGCACGTCATGTCCAGCCCAGGGATGGCCCAGATGTCGCAGCCACCTCTCCAAAAGGACAGAAGGTGGGCGCCCACTCTGCAGACACCAGGCCGCTGACCGCACCACGGGGCTCGGGTCGGCTCCCTGCCCGGGAGGGAGAGCCCGGCTCTAGGCAGGCTGCCAGACGGCCGAGCCTCACTGTCCTCACTGGGCAGCGGGGGAACGTGCCGAGCGCAGACCCCGGTGCAGCGGCAGCTGGCAGTGCAGTGCCCACTCTGCACGATTCCGCTCCTCTTCGGCACGTGCCCACACCCGGGCCGCCGGGAGAAGGGTGGGTGCTCAGCCTCCACTGTCCAGAGCGAGGGCCAGACTTGGGCCTCGGCACTCGGGCTCCAAGTCCAGCCCCTCCTGCCTCTGAGCTGCACGGGCGGGCGGCTGGAGCCCGGCCTCAGCCCCAGTGCAAAGCAGGCAAGCGCCCAGCCCGGCATCCCAGGGGGCTCCAGGGACACAGGGCGGGGCCCCCGGGAGAAGCGTCTGGCCTGCAGCCAACGCACGCCAGCCCATGGCGGGGCAGGGCAACAGGAGCTGGCTGCAGACCCCCGGAGAACCCCGGATGCTCGTCACCCTGCTGGCTGGCAGTGAAGGCGGAGCAGCGGTCCCCAACCCCCGCACCCGGGAGGAGCCAGAGGTGCTGGCCCCTAAGGGTGCGCCCGGGGTCTGCCATCCTGACCCGGGGAGACTCCTCCCACTTCCAGCCTGGAGTCGGGGTCCGAAGCCACGCTAGGCTGACGCAGGACATCTTGGGGGCCTCAACTAGCAGGCCAAGGTGAGCGTTTCTCCCCCACTGGTCACCCGACACACCCACGGGAGGCCACGAGCCATCGGCTGGCGCCGAGGAGCAGAGCTTCGCGTTAAGCGCCACACGCTCGCCCACATGGCCCAGGGCACCCACGCGGCGTTCCTGACTCACACGCAGCGTGGGCTCAGGCCCCCACCGCAGACGGGGAGGAGCAGAGAGCCTGGACACCCTGACATCCCCGGGGGCCGCCTGTCCGGGGGCTGCCACGGTGCCTGGGAAGAGCCGCCGGGGTCATCTCCGCAAGTCCCCGCCAAGGCCTGGGGCCCGGCCCCGCGAGGCCCACGGCTCACCGTCCACGTCCAGCTTCTGCGTGTGAATGAGTCCCAGCACCTGGACGTGGCCAGTGTTGGTCTTCTGGCAAATGCTGGCCCTGTCAGAGCAGCCGAGGGGCCCTTGATACACCTTCTGGCACAGGTTGATGTAGTAGCTGTGGACACGCGAGGCGCAGGGTCAGCTGCGGGGGCTCCGCTCCCCGCCCGCAGGCACGCCCCGCCCCGCCACCCC